TATCAAGAGCTGTCATATTTAATTATATACTTGAATCATACTCAAGTGCATATCTAAGGCAATTTCATATCATCACTAGAGGCTTACAACTCTGTCTTATTCGTTCGATAAACCATAGAGGGCTGCTATTTTGTTGATTTTAGTAATACGCGAGGAATAGAAACATACCTGAGCAGCTCGTTTCAGTTGAAACGTGAAATTGTGTAATTCTGAAAAAAAAAAAAATAAATAAATAAATAAATAAATAAATAAAATTTTCATACTCGACGAGCCCATCTGGGAGCCCTACAAGGTTACCCATACACATTGGCCATATATATTTCATTTATTTATTTATTTATTATTATTATTATTATTATTATTATTATTTTTTTTTTTTTTTAATTAAGAAAAAAAAAACAATTTTGAATGCTAATAATATTCATTTTATTTAGTTCCAGTGGATTTCTTTGGATTTGATATCGTTTCTCAAATGAAGGCGTACGAACCTACGCCCTATCGTGTTTGCCTTTGTTAAATGATATAGGGCTGCCAGATGGATCCGTCGAATATGAACAGCCCTCTTTTAATACCGATATTAGCGTATAGCAATCAAACTGAAGTCTTCTTAGGCTGAGGTCAGGCTTCTAGCTTTTAATGTCCCCTAGGACAATGTCCTCAGCACACACACACACACACACACACACACACACACACACACATACACACCAACATTTCGTTAGCCTTGCGAAGCCACGTAAAGTGCAAGGAAACGAGTTTTCTTCGCCTGAGTAGAGGTCGACGGCTTTAAGGCGCTTTCCATTTGCCATTTGCATTGAACAATTTTATGCTGTCGCAAAAATAATTGCAACTTTGTAACGGCCAGGTGGCAGCTGGAGGGCAGCTTAAAGAGTTTCTCTAAATGCTGCAGCGGACTGCATTAGTGGCAGCAGTTCCAACAACCACTCGAGCTGCCGAGCCAAATTAAACGAAACTTGAAAGAAAACTGCGCCCAGCTGTAAAGCGGACGCGAAATGAGTGAACTGGAAATGCAAATATCCACAGCGAGCGCTGAAAAAAAAAAAAAAACAAAGAAAATAAATAACCGAAAGCCTTATGGACATTTGTTGGCAGTCTTTGAATTTGTTTTTATTTCAATTCACTTTTTTTTTTTTTCTTTTCATTTCTTTTGGTTTTGTTTTCGGTTATTTCAGGAATTGGGTCCTGGGGTCAGGTCAGGCCCACCCCACAGCTCACACTCCCTTTTGTGGCAGACCAACAACGCATTTTTCGTTGTTGTTGCTACTTTTGTTGTTGTTGTTATTGTTGTTGTTGGTTCTGTTCCTTTTTAATCACTTGACCTTTTGCGCGTCGTGTGCTTTTAATTTATTATTGCGTCCCAACCGCACTCACAAGTTTTCTTTTATTTTTCTCGATTTGTTTTGGATATTTTTGTATTTTTTTTTGTTTTTTTTTTTTTTTTTTTTTTTTTGTGGGCAATGTTCAACTGCAGGAAAGAAAAATATAAATCTTGAAATTGACTTCTTTTCGGTGGGCGAACGCGAGTTTTGTTTTAGTTGCCTTCATTGTTGTCGTTGTTGTTGTTGTTGTTTTTTTTTTACCTTTTTACAAACTGTCGCCTTTTTGAGTTGTCGCTGACAGCGTGAAAATCAAGATAAATGTGTTTGCTCCTCTTTACGCCTGTATTCCAATGTGTTTGCACTTGATACTGTGGTTGTTATTTTATTGTTGTTGCTGTTGTTGTTGTAGCCATTGCACAGCTGTTGGTGGCTATGACACCATTTTTATTTAAAAATTAATTTCATTTTGAAATCGAATGTATTTCAGCAGAGTGGAGCCAACTGAAGTTGCTCATTAAAAAGAAAACGAGAATTTTGGGTTCATTTCAATAATCATTTAAGAATCGGAAATAAGCAAATGTTAAATATACAAAATATCAGCCTCACACCAACACCACTGTAACTGTGGGAGATGCTGTTAGACTTTGCTCTAGACTCTACTCTTTGGCTCTGCTGTTAGACTCTGATCTAACTAATTATGTAAGCTGTTAAAGTCTGCTGTTAGCCTCTACTGTTGGGCTCTGCTATTAGACTCTGCTATTGGACTCTGCTGTTACGCTCTGTTAGACTCTACACTAACTATGTATGCTGTTAAGCTCTGCTGTTAGACTATTTCATTACACTCTGCTGTCAGACTCTACTGCTTGGCCCTGCTGTTAGACTCTGATCTAACTAATTATGTAAGCTGTTAAAGTCTGCTGTTAGCCTCTGCTGTTGGGCTCTGCTATTAGACTCTGCTATTGGACTCTGCTGTTACGCTCTGTTAGACTCTACACTAACTATGTATGCTGTTAAGCTCTGCTGTTAGACTATTTCATTACACTCTGCTGTCAGACTCTACTGCTTGGGTCTGCTGTTAGACTTTGCTCTAGGCTACGCTGTTAGGCTCTGCTGCTAGAGTCTGCTGTTAGAAGCCCCTGTTATATAATGCAGTTCAACTCTGTTACTCCAATCTGCTGTTCAACTCTGCTCTTAGACTCCGCTATTAACCTCTGCTGTTAAATTCTTCAGTTAACATTACAGTCTCACGTCGCATACAGTACACATATACGTATTCATTATTATGTTATGTAACAGCAGCTCGTTTGCATATTTAAGTCAATTTTGAGTCGATCTGCCTCGACTAACGAATAATAATAATAATTCATCTCTGAGGCCATCCTTTGATTTCTGAGTTTGCTGCATTACAATTCTTATCTAAGATCTCATTGGAGCTTTTCGAATATTCCTGTATTCGATCGGGTGGGCTCGTAAGCTCTCTTCAATCCACTCGCTCAATTCACTTGAGGGTGACAGGAGGTGGACTGCAGAAGGAAAAATGAATAAAGTTATGAATGTATGCATATGTGTACTATATATGCCGTTAGGTATCTCTCGTAATGCTGACAATAAATATAAATAGTTTTACATTTATTAGAGGCTAACGCATAATCTTAGTAATTTGTTTAAGGCCAGAGGAAATGTCTGCTCTGTCACAACATGCCCAATATCTATATGTATGTATATATTTTCAACTTTCTCTTGAAATTATCACAATGTCCGGCGCACATGACAGAGTCTAACTAATCACAGCCCTAAGCCATACAAAATCACAAAATCTATCACGTTCTTGACTCAATGTGTACTTAGAGTCAGTCACTGCAGACCCGACAGCCCGAGCAGCCAGCCCGCCAGCCAGGCAGCCAGCCAGAGAGCCACAAGTTTGACAAACTGACCAGGCCAACAGCTGTGCTCATGCGGCTAGATTCATGATGTGCTTGCTTATGCAAATAAATGGGGTATCTTGGGCAGGAGGTGAGCTGGAACTTGAAGGGAATCAATTCAATTGAGATGATGGAGCTGGAATGGTCCAATGAAAGTTGACAACTTTATTACATTGTAGTTGTTGTAGTGGTCTACAGGGTATCTTGACGTCGTGCCTGTGCATCCCTGCTCCACTGTGCGGGCTGAAATGAATTTCATGAATAAATCTACTGACTGAGTGCCGACTGCTCTGCACTTTTCTGCTCTGTTTGACTTAAAAGCTTAGCGTATAAAACTCAAATTATGCGCTTCGAGCTGCTGAGCTCTTAACTATGTGTGCGTGTGCGTGCATGCGTGTGTGCGTGTGTGTGGGTAGTCGTGTTTACGTGTGAGTGACTTGATGGTGTCTGTGACTCCTGTTGCTTAGAGCAATTAAACGATAAGCGTAATCTACGGCGTCAATTTGCCAATTGTCGCACTCACAAATGCGTGAAGGCGTCAGCGCGGCATTTCAATTAGCCACCAATTCCCAAGAGCACTTACTAACAACAACAACAACAACAACAACAACAACAACAACAACAACAACATCGATTTCGACAGTTGGATATATATGTATATGTACATAGATATGTATATACATATGTACATAAATCCTTACCCCCAGCTGATGCTTTTGCATCACTCGCGTGCGTGTGTGTGGGTGTGCGTGTGTGGTTGTGTGTGTGTGTGTGTGGCCTTTGCGCATATTTCATGAACTTGAGAACGAGAACAAACACAGCGCACAAATGCCGTGAGTGTTCAAGGCGATGTCAATGCAATGCTTCCCGTGGCTGTTTCTCCGTGTTGGGGCTGTGGATGGGGCTAGGGCGTGTGTGGGTGTGGGGGGCCGCTGAGTGCGGCCAATTAGCACAAAGGCATTTGACTAAGTACACAAAAGTGTTTCCGTTTAGGCAGCACGTCAAGTGACAATTAGCCAGGCCGCAGTCAGCCTGTGATTCGGTTTACATTTTTGAGAGGCCTCGAGGCAGCCGCGACGTCGCGACTTGGCATGCACATAAATAGCTCGAGCGGCTCTCTCTCACACACACACTCTCTCTCTCTCTCTCTACACACACATATATATTTATTTGATAATCTGCGCAAAGCCTAAACAAGTTATCGGCTTAACATTGAGCACTCTGAGAGGTCTTTGGGAAGTTCGACTTAAAAGCTCTTGAGCTAAAATGAAGATGTATGAAGTTTTTATTTTATTTTATTTTATTCATTATTTTTTTTTTTTTAATAAATAAACTTTGTCTAAACATAAATTAATTAATTTATAAAGTATGTCTATAAATATTCTTAGATATATATTTTGAAATGCAGTCAATACAAATAAAGTAAACGTGGTAGCTGATGCATTTTTAGGCTCTGTCTTGAGGGCGCTGGTACCTAAGGCTTATCCCAGTACAGGTGCTGAAAGAGATATCATAGCATTCGAGGGCATGTTCGATTGCCTAAGCTCAGCAGCTATTCTCGATTCGCTCTTCGCTATTTCCTCAACTTGATTCAACTATGATTACAGCATAGCAATGTCTTTCCTTGACTTGACATCTGCATGCTCTAATGATTTAGTAACCACATGATCTTAATACAATTTTCACCTTTCTCTCTCTCTCTATCTCTATCTCTATCTCTCTGTGTTGCATTTTGCAGCGTTCTATCGCGGAAGCTAAAGCCACATCTGGTCGCCGACACCGTCAAGCAGTACATAAGTCGGGCGCAACGAACGACAAAGAAGGGTTCTCAAGAGCAACAAAATAACATGGAGTTTTTACGTGGTGTCTATGCGTTTATGCAAGTGAGTAGATCATCGGTGAGTGTCAATTATTTCCATTTTAACAAATGTACTAATCCATATCAACTTGCTCTATTTTTATTCCGGCAAAACCGTTTTGGTTCTTGTTTACCTCTATGTTTTATGTTTTTTTTTTTTTTTTAACATATCACTAAAAAAAAAAAAACCTATGTTAATTCGAGACCATTCGAGAAAAAATACCAAAAAAAAAAAAAAAAAAAAAAAAACTACAAAATAAATGAATAAAACGAAATATATGTAACTTCTATCTACTACTATCTTACTTGTTACTACTTCTACTACAACCTTTGTAAACATAAAAAAAAAAAACAAAAAAAAAAAAAAAAATACAAAAATACAATACAATTTATGATATACGAAACAAACCAAATATAATATATAATAAACATAAATATTGGCCACGTCAATGTACATAACATATGTTACACAACATGACAACTTCATGTCTCTTGTCTGCCTTCCATGTAATTGTTAACTTGAGAACGAACTAAACAAAGCAAAACCATCAAATAACTCGCATGATCGAATCAAAGAATGCATATATGTATATGTATGCCTATGCTTACATACATATATATTTGCTTATTCATATATGTATGTATCGACAACTGAGAATCATCTCCAACTCTGGGTCGACATCCAGGACGAGCCCAAAGGCGACGACGGAATGAATAGGTGGCACGCCGAGCAGTCCAACTGACAGCAGAGCAATCATGTTAGGCAGGCGATACATATATATATATATATACATATACCCCTAACAAAACTAGGTATAATCCATATAAACCAATAACCGAATAACAGCATTAATAATTCAAAACAAAAAGAAAAACAAAACAAAATGAAAACAGCCAAAGAGCTAATCGAAAACAAATCACAAGGCGAGCGAGCGACTCCAATTTGCATGTCTCTCATACCAAGTTACCATGACGAACAGCAACCTGTGCCCTAGGCACGCCCATTACTGACTCTCATATCAGCATCATACGCGGCGTATATACGATCTGCTAGGGCTCTCTCTCTCTCTCTCTCTCTCTCTCTTTCTCTTATCATCATTCAAAACATTGCCAAACGAAATGTGATTCTAACTAGCGAGCGAGTGAGCGTGCGTCTAACAAGCATTAGAAACCAACATATTCTTGACATCAAAATAATAAAAAAAAAAAAAAAAAAAAAAAAAAAAAAAACGAATCAAAAATTAATCAAATATTTGAACAATAATGAAACAAAAAAATATATATGTACTTGTATATATATATATAACACACAAAAGAATTTAAAACGACAAAATGCAACAAAAGACAGACAGAATAATATATATAAAAAAAACTAAAATACAAAAAAAAAAAAAAAAAAAAAAACAAAACAAAACAATGAACGAACAACAACAATTGCAAAGGACGCGCTAGGCCCAGCAGCGGGCTGACCATTTTCATAGAGCAACCACTTGCCCATTGCCCATTGCCCATTGCCCACTTACCCATTTGCCCATTGTCCATTTGCCCATTGTCCATTGTCCATTGTCCATAACCATAGTCCATTTAATAACCATTGTCCATTTGCCATTCCATTCAGATTCAGATTCAGACTCAGGCGGCCACGCCCATACTCCTCTTTCTCTCTCTCTCTCTCTCTATCTGTCTCTTTCCCTGTCTTTATGTTTATATAAGTGCACACATATACATGCATATGTGTATACATCTTGTCTCTTATGTAATACCATCAACATGCACATACATGCGTACAGTTATATATGTATGTGTGTATGTCTATCTAACAACAACAACAACAACAACTGAAACAAATAGACAACAAAGTCATTTGTCTAGATTTTCGTTCTTCTCTTAATAGTTTTGATTTGCTCATTATTATTGTAATTGGCTGTAATTTGATTGACAATGCTTAGCGGACCATGAACTGTGCATAAATATTAAATATATTCGTTTCTTGTTTTATTTGGAGTTTTTATTTTGAACAAATGAACAGATTAAATGCCAAATTTGTATTTGTGTAGCTTAAAATTTAGTCAATGTGTTGATTTCTTCAGTTTCTCTGTCTGTGTATGTATTGTTGTCTATGTATGTGTGTATGCGTGCGTGTGCGTGCGTATCTATGCTTATGTTATGTTAGGCTTACCTGAATTTATATCGATGTTATATACACACACACACACACATAAGCCTATGCGTAGATTGCGTATACGCATAGTTGGGCACAGATAATCTAGACCCGAAACCGTATTGAAATTTCAAAACGTTTTAAACCAAAACTACTTTATATTATTTCTCAAAAACAAAAATCCACAACAAAAATAAACAACAACAACCAAAATGCCAAAATCAAAACAACGATGATATCATAAATGAACCTGAAGATCGACTACAGCAACAGCAGCGGCGGCTATGAGACGACCCTCAGCCTGGTCAACGATACGAATGAGGCAACCGCGACAGCGATGCGCGATGCTGAGCAAGCAGCAAGCTTAAAGGCAGCAACTGCAACAGCAACAGCAACAACAGCAACAACTGCAACGATAGCAACTAGAGAGACGCTGCCTGGCGAAGAAGCAGACGGCCCAGCTGCAAGCTCAAGGCATCGACTGGCCATCCAGCCCAGATCAGCACCAAATCGGAGCCAGCGCCAGAGTCAGAGTCAGAGTCAGACTGAGACTGAGACACTGTTGCCACAGAATCTAGTGATGCTGCAGACAGCAGCCGTAGCCGCCAGGACAACGACTGACGATAGTTGAGAGTGCAGCGATATGTGGATCGCCAGTGTTGCCAAGAGCCACAAGATCAACTGCAGCAGCACCTGTATAAATGCTAAGAAACAATGATCAAGCCACAAAGATAATGCTAACCATGTGATAACTCGTATGTATGTGTGTATATAGGCCATATACTTATGTATAACAATTATAAACTAATGAACCACAATGAAAGCAACGTGACGTGAAACGTGAGACGTGAAACGACAACAAACTATTCGAAAACAGGGCAACTAACAGTACGGTGGCCTTAGCTTGTGCAACTGAATCAAACTAGTAAATCAAAGATCGAAAGACGATATCGATAACAATAATCAAATAAGCCATCAAACTTTCAATAACTTAATCAAACGAAAAAAAAAAAAAAGAAGCTTAATCGTGTCATCAACAATAAACAGAAACATATAGCTATCCATATATCGACAACAGCCAGCAGCAGCTACACAAAAGTCTTCAGCAAGCAGTGCAACAGCGATAGCGGTAGCGGTAACAGTAACAGTAACAGTAACACTCACGTTAACAGTTACAGCATCACATTGACATTAACTGTAACTGTCGACTGCCCAAACGAAACGCTCAGGCTACGACTGATCTGATTTGCGTGCGTGCGTCGTGCGTGTGTGTGCGTGCCACGCCCACCACCGGCCACCGCGTGCACTCAGAGGGTTGGTTGGTGCCCGCGGTGCCATCCCCCCAAACGCAAAGTGATAGAAAATGGTAATTACAAACAAAACAATTCTAGTCATTAACTATCCAAAAGAAAATACCAAAACCAAGAACCAAAAACCAAGAAAAAAAAAAGAAAAGAAACTCTAATGAAAGTCCTCAAACTCTACTCTATACTACCCAGCTATCCAAAGTTCATCACAGTCTCTGTTTCCTTCTCTCTCTCTATATATATATAAATATATATCAATTTCTATCTCCCCTGTTTTACTATCCGTTAATCACACTCTCTTCAAATGCGTTTCCTTTCATAATTCAAATTGCATATATTGTAGTTCAGATAATTATTAGATGCAAATTTTTTTTCCAAAGTTTTCTTCGTTTTTTTTAATTTTTTTTAATTTTATGCTTTAGCTGTCGATTAGCCGTGCACCAGCGCCATCTAGCGGCTAATATTTGTGTTCCATTTACGCATTTGGTTCATTTTTGATTTCATTTGGCTTTGTCGCTTCTCTCTTTCTCTCTCTCTCTCTCTCTCTCATTTAGTTTCTTGCGTTTTGAGTCGGAAAACATGAGCGCGACCAACCCAAACAAGAAAAAAAAAACTTAAAACAAAAACACAAGAACCAGAAAATATAACGAATCCAATTTAGGGGATGCAAATTGATTGCAATTGAAGCGTAATCGATAATCGATATTTTATCAAAAGCAACGTTTTACGTGAGAATTCAACGGTAACTGATTGCTCGCCTGCCATAATATATATATATATAAAAAAAAACATATGCTGCTGTCTACAAAAATATAAATAAATAAACAAAAACAAATTGAAAAAAAATGCTACAGAAAATAACAATAATAAATAATATAATTAAATCTTATAAATAATTATACAAAATATATGAAACTAATCAAATTTAATACAAACTAATTATAAGTAATGAGAGCAAGCCACACCAAATGTTTCTCTCTCTATATATATCTACCTCTCTATCTCTCTGTCTCTCTCTCTCTCTCTCTCTCTCTAAGTACCTGTATTGATGTATATGTAACGCCATATACACACCCATACCCTCATACACACACACACAGCCACACAGCCTTGTAAAAGTATAGTAAAGTGTTGCGAATGCTTTGTCATGAATGATAATAATAACTGAACAATCTGATGATAAATTGAGAATATCTACATATATATTATACGACCGATGGCCCCAAGCCATCTCAGCGGAATTTCTTTTCATTTAATTTCTGTTACACATATATATATATATATCAAAATATATCTACTATAATTTTCCACATATATCAATAACGATGACTATTTATGCGTATCAACTAAGTGAAAAAGTACAGTTTACAATTTACCTTATAACAATATTGAAGAAAAAAGAGAAACCAAACTAAATGCTGTGATAAGTAGTTCCTGCAAGTCCAAGCATCGATTCATCAACAGCATTTTAGCCCCTAAATAGCTCTATTGCCGCGTATATGTTGTTCTGTTTAAATAATTTGCAAAACAAAATACCAAAAAAATACCAAATCGAACTCTGACAAAACACAT